CGAAAAACATTCTAAATATAATCGTATGGAAATTTGTCAAAGGGAGCTTAACCGCATCGGGAAAGGGCACCCATAAACCCGATAAAACGGCCATTATAATTAAGATAGCGACAGAACATCAGTTTCGAACAAACAAATAAAGGCAATAAAATTAGAGGATACATCTGTAACCGGCTTGTAGTACCTACTTAGAGAAGTCGGCGCTGATAACCGATCCGAGATCGTAACCGAACCAGCTCCTAATCGGCTGACCTCCGACTCGGGCTGAACTTTCCAAAGATTTCCTCTGTCTGGGTTACCTAACAGGCCAGATAAGACGGTTTCGGATGGTTAAGCCGAAGCTGACGGCCTGTGGAAAAAAACAGATAAACCCCAAGGCCAGCGCGGAAAAAATCGTCTTGATATCTTCCCATATGGCATATGGATCTAATAAATTATCTGGAAATAGGCGCGCCTGGACTTGGTTCTATCAGCTCCATTTAACACCACGCGTGTCCAGTTGGGTCCAGTCCGACTGACCATCATCCGCATCATCATCATCATCATCATCATCATCATCGAATCTGACCGTTCATAATTTTTCCACGGCAAAGCCAACAGGCAACACACAAAAATGTGGTAATTACTGGCAGACAGACCAAAAACAATGGGCAGCGACGAGGGCCCCGGCCTGCTATAATAAATCATATCTCGGTGAGTTGGAGAAATAGATAGGCATATAAACGCAGGTAGGGCCCTATGGGATATTTGTTTTACGTTAAACTACTGAGTGGCGCCTGTCTTGCCGCAGTCCCAGCATGAGATGGGGCCCGCCTGCTTCGGGACTCAATTATCGAGAGTCATTCGGCGGCCGTTTTTCGGGAAGTCGACCGGTTCCCCAAAATGTGGTGGCTGCAGAAGGGCCCCCTTTTTGCAGAAGCGTTGGGGCTTCGAGATCGCCCCCCAACCACAACAACCGAACAAACGCATACCTGGAGGCGTCTGCTCAACGAATCTAGATAATAAGCAGTTGCAAACGGTGCTTTTCTCACCTTCACAGCCCAACCCGTAATTACCAGTCTCCTCTTTGTAAATACAGCAATCTTCGTGTTGGTCTACAGGGTGAAACGGCTATTTTTCCATGGAACAGGCATTTCGTTGGCCGTTTTTTAAGGGGAGATCGGCGTGGCCTGAGGGCCCATTTTCCATTGGAGAAGCTTCTCTTAATACACGTATAAGATGCGGAAAATGTCCAGCTCCACTGTTATTGATAGTCACAGTTTACTGAGAAAATGTTCGGTTTCAGAGCTGCAAACCGCAACTGGCTGTTATTTTTGGGTCTTGGAAAAATTTGCAAAAAATAACCTGAACGCACTAACTTTGGAAAAATTTGGAGGAAATCAAACGAAAACTCTAATAAAATTATTTCTATGAAAGTAGGGATTTTCGTCTCTACAATTTGTATGCGTAGTTTTCAATGACTTTCAAAAACAGTGATTTGGCACTTTTTCAAACAGTCAAAAATTGAAAAACGTGCATTTTTCGGAAAGTGTCCACTTCAATTGCTACATGCAATGTCGACTCGAATGTCAAAAAAGGACCCAAAACACTAATTTTTGACGTTTTGGGAAGAAACAAGCTGAAACTGGAAAAAGTGTATGCTTCGCAAAGTGTTCATTTTCATCGCTACAAGTCGCACATGAAATTCAAAGCGGTTTGGACTACGGATTTTGAAGAAATTTGCAAAAAATCCCGAAAACACTGACTTTTCACGTTTTCGAAAAAATCCGAGCAAAATTTTATACAGTGTATGCTTCGAAAAGTGGCCAGTTTCATTGCTACAAGTCGTATATAGAATTTCAATACTCAAGGACTGCAGGTGTTTCAAAAAATTGCCAAAAACCACCCAAAAACACTATCTTTTGACATTTTTGGAAAAACCAAGGGAAAACTG